ACACATAATTTTCATATGCCAATGTACGTTGATTATTTGATCCTGTTCTAATTTCTGCTATGTCTTATTAGCGTCGTGACAACAAATTCCCAGTGAAGAATTGCCCAGACCTGTGTAAGTCTGATGAGCCTTGACTTAATTCACATCAGATTTATCTCTTACTCTAGACAGTGTCACACTGGTGCACACAAGTCAGAATGTTTCATTTAACCTGACAGCAGTGCTTTAGCTTGTGAAGGAAGCAACACCAGCAACGCAGGGCAGTGTCTGTCTGAGTTTCTAAGTGAATAGATCCTATGTTACAAACTTACAGGCACTGTGTCTTGTTACTGTGTCACCTACTTCTAACATCACGGTGGGTCTAGTCGCTGATTCCTGCAAGAGGTTGCCTATCAAAACTGCACATTTCTACAGCTTATAACAGGAGCAGTTATTACTACAATTAATATCCTGGAACCAGTAAAAAGCTGGCTTACAGACAAGGAAGTAGGATGACAAAGCAAGTTTGGTCCTTTGTGCTTCAAGTCATCTGTAAAATGTCTATTAAATCAGGTCACAAGAGGTTCAAACCTGAAGCAAGAAGTTGCACACTGGAGTGGCTGTAAACTCGAGGGAGGCAGTGTTTTCTATAATTTTTCAGGGTTTAGCTGTTTTCTTATTGGATTTGTTGCATCATTTTTATTTTTTCTCCTTAGTAAGCTTTTTCTGTTTGCAAGAAGTAGCTGTCTTTCTGACAATGTTAAGACATCTGTGGCCAGGAGTCAGGGCAGATTGTGCTCTTCAGCATAGAAAGATACTGATATCATACATCATACAGCTTTTCTAGATCACTCAGTGCTTTTCAAATCAGTGTCTTCTAAGCAGCTGATCAACACAATCAGAGCATAGGGCTTGTTTTCATTTTTGCTGCATGCCTGGTGATCTGGGGTTTCTCTCTAAGTGGATGCCATGAGGTCATCCAGACTAGGCACTGCATCATCCCTGCTTTCACCACCATTCCTTGGCCACCTCGATCCTCTATCATCTGTGAATTCTTCAGCAGGAGCTCTGGTTCCCTCTTGGGTTAATATGGTGTCACTTCCCATCAGGGCTTAATTTAATTCAGCCCTCACAATGTTACTGTACTACAGGTGAGAAAATGGTATGTCTGATACCATCCACCTCCACAAATCATCTCCTCAAATCAAAAACTCAGCTACTAGAGAGTTCTGAAAATTTGACATTTTTGGAAACACGATAGAAAACTGGTTGGCTTTTTTTCCCCCCTACATTTTAAACACAAAAAGCATACCAAGAAAAGACAACAAAAACAAATTGTATTTTCATTAGACATATGCAATAGGTGTTTGGCACAATAAGTTTAGTGACCCTGACAAAATAATTATTTTCCCATGGTCCTGATGAAAGTTATTTATTTATAAAATTATTTGAAGTTGATCAAGAAGACAAAGAACCTGTTTATTCCTTAAGCGTAGTAAAAGGTAATCAGTAAGACTACAATATCACTTCTATTTCCTATATTGATCATTCAATTCCTATCCCAAATTTAATCCATGCAGCTTTCCACCTATTAATAATTACTACTGGTTAACAAGCGCACCCAGACTGTGACAGAATTGCACTGAATTTTTTTCCAGTTTGTCAGATCCTTTTGTCTTACTCTTCCTCTCCTAGATCACATTTTGCTGGTAAATTAGTTTCTTAAATTCAGTCTCACATACTTTGCTCTTGAGTTAGCTTTCTTCTCTACAAGACATTGCTATATACTGTACCTTTAAGTACTCAAATCAATTTAATTACATTTCATTACAGGCAGTAGACCTGAAACAAACTAATGAAAGCAGCCATCATGTCGGGTGGTATTTATATCGCCATTAAATTGATAATACCCCCTTTAGGCTCTTAAAAATTAGTTTCAATATTTAACACTAATAGCTTTTGGAATTGTTGACAGGAATAGTTTTAATAAATTTGTTACAAACTATTTACCTTTACAAGGGAAGAAGCTTGTTCCTTGCAGCAGAAGAGATCTAAAGATAGATGACTTAAAAGTATTGGGGTTTTGAAATACTGTGAGCTGCCCACGATCTGTTGAAAAACACCATGAAGGTTGTTGTACAATGATAGTAGTATGCTTTGTTAAGTCAAAAGCAATGTCTAGTCACCACAGTCCTTGTGTTAGAGTTTATTGTTTGCCTCACTGGTTTTATTGAGCTGGTTTGGCTTGCCAACTTGGGATTTTGTAGTAGAATTTATTTGAGGACCTCATTATAATCACTACAGTCAGCAGAGAGAAAAAAAATGAAAATTTACAGGCAAGAAAGAAGGAAAATCATCGGCTGCACAAAAGAGTGCTCGTGCTAGCATCCCACATGTAGCTCCCTTGCTGCTGAAGCACCTTGTAATGCTGTTTCTGAGGAAGCAATGTTGACAAAGCCCTTTTGATATTCTACAGAACAACTGTGGTGCCATATGCTATTCCTGTAGAGTCTGTGGGACAGTGCAGGTATCAGGGATTTATTACATCCGCTTCCCATGAGAACCAGGCTGCAGGTATAAATGTAAAAATACACATGGAATAGACAACAGTAAGAAAAGTTTAAGGGAAGTTTCACATAACTTTTTTTGGAATCACATGTCAGGGTTTTACTTGGGAGAAGCAAGAGTGAGAAAGGAGAGTATACATTGCCATGGATGTATCCAGATCCACAAAGCTGGAAGCATTTTTTGACTTGCGCTACGTAAGCATGGCTGATGTCTTCTTCTTTTGCAGGCAGAGAGTAATAAGTAGTGTATTCCTTTTCCTTTTATCAGATCGAAAGTCTGTCCACTTCTTACTCCTCTTCAGTCTGTTTAAAAGAAAATAAATGATCAGAAAACTACAACAGAGTGAATTATAGAGAGTCACCTTTCTGGTAAGAAATTCTGACCCTGGAGAAGGAGAAAGAAGGGAACCATTTTTCTTCAGCAGAATAAAGGCATGGGCTTCTCACATGTTTGCTCCTTCAGTTTTATAATAGAGAAATCACCACACAAGTTATGATGAACCAGAGATACAGAAATAATGCTAAGTATGTTCCTTGGAGTCTTAATGCTCGGATAAGATTATTGGACTTAAGCTACTCATTATAATTATTGCTATAAACTTTTATGTCTTCTTTAAAAATGCATGCATTTTATAAATATGTATGTATTATATATAGTGTATATATATATATGGAAATTTTTCTAATAGTTTCCAAATTGATGTAAAAATTTAGGGCTTTACTGTTGTTTTTCTTACATTCTCATGGATCCTCTCTCCAGCTTGGAGGATGTGTTTTGTATAGAAACTGCTTTTTGGAGACCAGATATAAATTGGAAAGATTGGAAGTAGAAAACTTTGATTTAAGCCGGTGACCTAAACATGAGTGATCTCTCAGTGGACAGTCACTATTGATTCTAGGGAAAGTCCTGACTGTACTGTAAAAGCCTAGCCGAGATTTCAATCTTCCTTATTTTTCCCTTTGAAATTACAGCTGATGAACCTCAGGATTAAAGGGTGGGCTCAGTTCCGCGCACACTGTGTCTCACCTAAAAAATCCGATGCGCAGGCTGGAAGGTGGAAAGACCTTCCCCGGTTCTTCGTTCGCGAAGAGACTGGCCATTACAGCTGAGATACACATGTTTGTACAAATGCATTATGTGAGGAGTACGGACATTCAGAATCTGTAGTTAGGTGTCACCTCTGTCTATCATAATTTACTTACAGCATTTCCCTCTATAACAAGCATGAGTATCTCTTCTCCTCCTGCTGTGTCACACCCTTGCTGAGTTCTCTTTCCTAAGAGTTTAGTGAAAAGGGGATTTTCAAGCCACTTTCTCTTGCAGTTCTGAGAGCTAGGTGCCCATGGTTTCTGTGGACAGAAAAGAACAGAGAGATGCCTTGAGCAAAGGCAGAGCATGGGAAGGGGTGGGATTCACTGCTGGATGTCTGGAGTAGCTGAGGTATGGGGTGGTAATATTCTTTACTACCCCAACAATGAATTATTATTCTGTAATAATAATATGTTATTGTGTTTATTTTTTTATTCAACATTTCATTACAAAACTTTGGTTTAGCACCATGCCAGGTACTTGATTCGATTTCCACTGAGCTCAACAGAAAGCAAACATTTTTAACACTGTGTGAGAATGGGAAAACTCAGTGTTACTGATTTAGATTTAACATTAAGCAGTGATAAAAGTTGTAATCTATCAATACTGAAGGTATTTGAAATGTTGTAATTTAATAAGAACACTAGGAAAAGTCAGTTTATTTTCTTGTAATAGTTTCAGACTATAATATCTTTTTTTAAATGTGTTATATTGGATTATTGTGTTATATTATGGTATAGGAATAAAACATGAATTATTCAAACTCTCCTTTTTTGTTTCTGAACTAGCTGTTTCTAGTGTTTGTATTGTTTCTTTTTTTTTTAATACATCACCATTACAACACTCTCAAATAGAAGGAATAGAATTTCTTTCTGCACACCTTTGAGAAAACTGCAACAAGGAAAATTGCATTGATTCTTTTTCCCTCATGTGTGAAAAATGGGCAGTTAGTATAACTAAAGTAAATAGATGTCCAGTTTGGTAGTCCTGGGGTTTCCCCATCTACTTACTCCAAAACTTCCTTATAAACTGGAAGTGATTTCAAGCCAGAATGCCATTTGCAGTGTGAAAATAGAAGCATGGAAAAAGACAAAACTATTAAATACTAGCCTGAAAAGTTGAAGTATTTCTGAAATGTGTTGTTTTATAGAACGTTCTGCATTTTATTTTTTCTCCTACTTTGTCAGTACAGTCAGCACATCGAATCCTGCACCGCTAAGAACATTTGCCACCCAGTGGCAGGAAGAAGATAGTAATCTACTTGTGTATCCATACTGAAAATATTAGCAGAAAATATTCTGTGCTTGAAATGGGAAACTGTATGGCATTTTCACTGACTGTTGGCCCGATGTTTGATGTTGCAGGACGGATGGTCACAGTATCACTTTGTAGCCTCATCTTCAACAATAGAAAGGGATCGGCAAAGACCGTACTCTTCATCACGCACGCCCTCCATCTCTCCCGTGCGCATGTCTCCTAACAACCGCTCAGGTAAGAGCAGGTTTTCAGGACTGAAGTAAAGACAGAGGTAATGCATCACTGTCGTTTTTCTTCTTTCAACCACGTCACTGACATCTGGATTTGTTGTTGACTGTGGTGGAGGGGCACAAAGCATATTCTTTACTCTTATCCGAATTGTCTGTTCAAAACAGGATCTTTTAAAATTTTGTTTTATTTTATTTTATTATTAGCACCTTTTAAAGTTTTACAGCAGAAAGAATATTCCAGAACTTTTGATTATGAATTCTCATGAAGTGCTTTCAGGATTACCTGACTACATCTCAGGGCAATGGTGTCCATTAGTAGCACAAGGAAATTCTGTAACTCACTTTGCTAGTCATGAAAGCCACTGTGTTGTTTATGACCATTCTGAACACTTAGCAGAAGTTGAAGGATCCACATTACTTTTTGTCAGCTTTTATTCTGGGTATGTGTGCATATGTGCATACATACGTTTATCACTGTCTGATGAACAAACACATCTTCCTTGGTATCATTTCTGTTGATAATACCATATCCATTTCTGACATTGAACCAATTGACTGTGCCAAGAACTTTGGTGGCCAGTACTTTCTTCTCTGAAGAAAGTAAGTTTCTCCAAAGAAGAAAGAAGAAAGTAAGATATGTAAGTTTCACAAAAGTTTGGCTACAGGTCTTCACGTAAAATTGACAGCATATTTACACCAGCTATTATCAACTCAATGAATCTCAACTTATGCAATAGTGTAAATTAATTTTTCTATTCAGAAATTAGGTAATCTTCCCCTCAGCTTATTCTAAGGTAGAACATAACCTTGGTTAGGTAAAGCCATTCACAGTGAAAAACTTTTAACATAGAGTGTAACTGTCAGTCTTTCAGTGTGCTTTTTTGCTACCTGTTCAATCAAATGCTATCATTCCAAAGGTACAGCAAGAGTTCAGGATTAAAATTGTTCAAACCTATTATTGCCATTAGCATTGTGACATAGTTTGGGTTTTAAGAAAATTGTTGTCTTAATTATCTAGAAGCTGCATTTTAGTCCTGCAGGACAACCACAGAGGAGGTATGAAAATGTAGCCAGAAGTACAGTGAAAGCTGCTATTTTGTTTTCAAAATCTGTCATTGCACAAGTCCATAAAGGACTGCTGCTCCTTTTTTTTCTTCTCCAAAATCTCATTTTGACTGTAAGTGCAAGGTACTTGAAATTTCTGGCCCTGACATCTTAGTTTTGTCTCTTGCCAGAACTGTCTCCTCACTTCTGTTGCTCTAAATTTTTGGATGAAATTTTACTGCCATCATCAGTTATTATAAGACTGGAAAAGGACAAATAATAGTGGCTGGTTATGCAGGAAGAGGAGACCATATCATTGTGTACTGGTCAGCTCAATGTCATTCTAGAAAATTGGTGGAACAAATAATCACCCCTGAGGTAGTATGAACATAAGATACTACTTAACTCTGGGAGTATCTATTTTTAAATAGTAATATAAGTTACTGTGTGTCTGGTAGTATCCATATCAAATAATGTGATGGTTCGGACTTGGCTCCCTGCCAAATGCCCAACCCCCCAATAGTAGCCCCTCTCTTCCCCCCCTTTCTACTTCCCCCAGGGAAAAGGAAAAAAAAACTATGCAAATTGAAGAACCCGAAAACCAAGGTAGTTATATAAAAAATGTATTTTATGTATATTATAGTTAAAATGCTATGTACACAGCAAACGGGAATCCAAACACCCCCTGAAGGGATAGGGAAAGGGGAAAAAGGAACAAAAGGAAACAAAAAGGGACACCAAAGAGATATGCGCAGCCAAACACGAGAACCAGTAAAATAACTAGTAAAACAAATCTCACCACATCCCTTAGAAAGAAACAGGATTGACACACACACGGCCGGCACTCCCCAAGCCTCCACATGGCAGGTCAGTGGGTGCTGCAGGCCTCAGCCTTAGATAAGCGAGACCAATGCAGGGAGCCACTGTTCCCGAACTTTGGTGGAAGAGAAGAAGAATGAAGGCCGCTCCTCCCTTCTTATTTATACCACAATTTACGTAAAAATCATATGGAATGCTGGGAACACTGCCCCTTCCTTGGTTACAAACTGGTAACCAGGGAAGGCCTAGATTAAAACCACCACAAATAAAAACATTGATTCAATACCGTTTGTTCTTGTTAAATCCACCCGAGTGCCTGCTACAACATACTTAAAGCACTTTGTGGAAAGAATAGTCAGTAAGTACAATTTACTGTAATCAATAAGACTCTTTCACAAAATGTTTTTATAGGTAAGCTAGGCCAAGCTAGCAAACAGTTCACAAAATGTCATGTGTGGTAATGGCATGATTGAAAACCATTCACAAAGAAAGGGGATTGCTTATTGCCAAAATAGAAGAATGCTTTGCTTGGAGGTTTGCCTGGGTCCAGTACTTTTCAGTGGTTTCAATAATGACCCAGATAATATGCAAAAGATGCCTGTTAGCTTTGTGGGTGGCATAAACCTGGGAGAAACTCATGTTCTTTGAAGGGCATTATTGAAATTCAGTCTGATCCTGAGAAATTGGAGATAATGTTTAAAGGGGAAAAAAAAAAAATCCAGTCCTTTACAAATAAAGGAGAATATCTGGCTGGATAAAGGTTCTTTAGAAATGATTTAGGGATTTTTGTCAGTTGCACACATGAATTGGAAGATGGAGAAATCAGGATATGAAAATGTAGTTGTTTAACTCAAGTAAGAGACATGAGATGGGGACAGGGGAAAGAGGCACACACCAAGTATTCAAGCACATAAGAGCCAGCTATGAAGAGAAACGGCATGAACTTTTTTCTACTTCCATAGCAGACAAATGGAAATAATGAGCAACAAGGAGTCAGGCTAGACATGGGGGAACATTTCCTAACAGTGGGGAAAGAAAGCACTGGAACAGACTGCGTGGAGCAGTTACGTGATCTCTGTCATTAGAGATCTTTAGCTTTAGATTAAAATCTGTAAAGAATTATTTTGTTATACTGGATCCTACCTTGGGGTAAAGAGTTGAAGTAAATGAACTCATAACATCCCATCCATGCATAGGACTTGGTGATAGCGTGCTTAAACTTGAGTAGCAAGCTCTGTATTCTTTTATCTTCCCTTTAAGAATAAGAGAGAAGACCATGATATCAGCTTTCAGTCTAGTATCAACCAATGATTTTATGTTTGCTTCCAGTAAAAACTCTGAAAGAGGGGGCTTCTGTATCTTAAGGCTTGCCTAAAAGCAGTTGTCCTCCCATGGGAAGAGAGAGATAATTCCCACAGGGAACAGAGAGAGATGGTTTTTCATGTATCAGATAATTTTGTTCAAAACACCAGAGTGTTTAAAATCATTACCAGAGTATGTGAAACTAAATGTGTCCCTCTGTTAGCAGCTTTTTCAAGGTTTGCATTCTGGTTTGTTCCCCATTACGCTCAATCTGCCATGAGCTGATTTGGTAGTTTAATGTCATGATTCTTTATATCTGCTGGATTATCAGCTTTAGATTTACAGCGCTATTGACAAACAGTTTAAAAGCAATCCTCAGTTCTAATGGCTTCATAAAAAAACATCTCCTGCATTTGCTCTGTAAATATAGAGGCCAGGGCCAGCACAACCAATTGAAGCAGAATTCAACATTTCTGGTGCTTTCCTACTCCTTAGTTTAGTACAAATGCTTCACCATTTCTTAACTAAAAATGTAACAGAGTTTAGAGATGCTGAAAAATGCAGTTCAGGGTCAAGCTTCACAAATGAGTTTGTCTCCCATTTTTAAGTATTTTCTTTTCCTTCTTTTTAAACAAAGACATTGTTTCTGCTTTTGAGGTTCTTTTGACACTGCAAATATCTGTGTGGAGACAGGGGAGTGTGTGGAAGAACCAGCATTTTAGTTATTTTGTGCGACTGTGCCCTCACAAGGCTCGGGGGGTGCTCTGCCACTCACCCTGTACTCCTTCTCGTGCCCTCCGCAACAAGAAAAGTGCACTTTATCTACCAGCACCTAAATAGATTGAAGTCAGTTTTGAAAACCATTACTTTTTACCTTTACGTTTTTCCTGTTCCTAAACATCACAAGCTCTAAGGCTTCATGATTGGTGCCACTGATCACCTTCACATTCTCCAGTGCTTGAGACTTGAGTATAAAACCCAATTCTCCTCCTCACCACTTCTACTTTCCTCCTTTTAGCCATACCATGAGAACAGATGATAAAGGATTTTGTTTTAATAAAAATAGGTTAAAGTAGCAGTTGTTGTTTTAATGGCAGTTGTTCATATATAGATATTTAAAGACAGAAATTGAGTTACCTAAAGGGTTAGATGTTCTTTGCTACATGTTTTCTATGAAAAAAACACCCTTCCTTTATTTGCTTTCCTTCACCATTAGAATAATTTAATTGGTTTGGGTTTTTTTTGAGAGAAAAGCGAAAAACCCATTTTATAAGCGTTTTTCCACACAGTTGAAAGTTAACAGTCTTTTCAACAGAAATAAGGTAACCCTTTTGAGCAAAAAAAATTGAAGGGCTTGTACCAGAAAGTTTTGACAAGTTAAAGAAATTGAAAACCAAAAGAATGAAAAAAAATATTGTTGTACTTTTTTTCATAATAATTGTTTTAGACATTGGACATAAGTGAAAAAAAAATAAAACATTCAGAGAGAAAATTATGTTTGCAGTTGATTGTCCAATAAATACATTTGCCTTGCACTTGAAATAACACCGCCTTTTCTTTTCCTCCATAATGTGATAGTGTTTCTTCAATGAGCTTTGTGTTAGAATGCTAAATGCAGTTACAAACTTTGCTAAAATGTTTGCTCTAAAGTTAAACACTACATTCAGTCATACATGGTAAAAAAAAAGAAAATCCATTTTTGTCATCCAGCAAGTGCCCCAGCCTCACCTCGGGAAATGATCAGCCTAAAAGAAAGAAAAACAGACTATGAATCAACTGGAACCAACGCCACTTACCATGGAAACAAGGGAGAACACACTTCTAGGAAAGACACCATGACAGGTGAGATTATGCTTGCATAGCATGTGTAAAAATCATCTGTGATAGACCACCAATTTTATAGGCTTAGCTGGGTTTACTGGAAAAGAGTCAACCTGCTTTGGTTGATTCCAAAGTTTTAGCCACCCTGAGAAATACAAGTGAAGATATATTTGAATGAATACAATGCAATGCGAAAATTATGTGTAAAGATGGTGTTTTTTTCACAGAAGAGAGGCTCTAAACAAAATTTTACTTATCTTTTTCAGTTTTACATTTGTTTTCATTTCAGAAGGAAATTGGTTGATCACTTGAATTAACTGGTATAGTTGAGCATGTGCAGTGATCCCTAGCATCTGTCTTTTGCAGGAAATGGCTTTCTGGGATCAGTTAGCTTATTTTGCACATCAGTCATTCCTAGGAAATTTGTGCCTGTTCATAAGGTCTATCCATGTTACTTTCTCAGCTGGGCTGATTTAAATGCAGTAATTTTCTTTGTATGTTGTGGCATCTGTTGCAGGTTTCATTGAAGGCTTCTTTTCCCCGGTGAGCTCATTAACCTGTTAGCATTTCAGTAATTAGAAAATTTTGAGTGCTTTGCCGAGTGCTGCACCTCTTCATGAATTCTCTTGCAAAATGCATGTTGGTCTCCATCACCACTGTACAAGGCTGATATAATCATTATTGAACATTTTGTTACATTTATATAGTGCTGGGCATCATGGTGTCCTCTTCTCCAAATGCTGCTTCAGGGCAAGCAAAAAAAATCACAGCGAGGAGTCACTCTGCACTTTCTGAATGCCTGTTACCTTCTCCCAAGCCCTCTGCAGAGGTCTTCCACAGAGGCCAAATGGGCTTCCTTTGTGTTCCTCTGCTCACTGGGGACACCAGGAACATGCTGATTCAGCATCACACCATCCATACTAGCTTTCAAGACTGTATTCAGGATATGAAGATACTCATTCTGCATCTACTGTGTCATATGTGATTGTGCAAGCAGAACCTGAAGGCCAGACTTGGAATTTGTGTGAAAATGCAATATGGAACATTAATTAGCATGAAAGTGAAAATCTGAAGAGACAAATGACAGTTAAGAGCATCTGGAAAACACAGGAATTAGGAGTGTCCTGAGTGGCTTCTGCAGGGTACTACGGGGGAGTGCAGAAGATTCAGTCAAGGTACTGCATTTTATGTATCTGTAATGTTTTGAGTGTTTCACAGTCACTACACAAGGTAGTTCTCTAAAACACTTGAGTGGTCCTTACTTGTCTGATTATGGAGGACAGGACTGCAGTTCTTTCAGCTATTTGTCCAGGACCCATGAAGGGTGAATCTCAGGAATAACAGCATCAGGCTGAAAAGGAAAATGCAGAAACATTAGTATTTTTTTCTAGCTGTATTTGCAAATTCAGACTAGCAAATTATATCAGAACGCTCACCAAAAGGAGAGTCTCCATGTTGAAAATTTGTGTTTCCTTGCAGATAGTCTTGTCTCACTCTATACATTAAAAATGAGCTTTTCATTTTCCCCACCCCTTTTCATTTTGTTTTTTTATTGTAGGGTTTTTCTTCTCTTGTTCCTGTTTCTCTTGTTTCCTTTCTCTTACAATATAATTTTCAGATTATGAGGTTTCTACTACTCCAGCAACCTTTGCTCCCCTTTGATATTTGCATTGTGTTTTCCTTTAATATCGCCTTGTTTTGTCTGTTTCTACTGATTATTTGGATGGGCTTTTAATAAGGAAACTTGAAACTCTCAGGATCACGCCCAGCTATCAGCTGTCTTTCCAGCTACTGAGCTCAGTGAGGAAAAAAAAACACCAAATTTGAATCAAAAAGTATAATAATATTTCACAGGACCAATGTACAAATAAGTATGGAATTAACAAATAACTCTCTCTCTCTTTCAGATCACCAAATCTCTACTCATTTGACCTAAGCTCCAATTAAGCGCCATTTTAAGAACAAAAGAAAATCACAGAAGGAGTCTTGCTCATCAACATTCAACATGACACTTGTGTAACTTAATTGTAGCTCATTAAATAATAAACATTTGATTGAAGAACAATATAAAATCAGTGTTTGTGATTTTTGTGAGATTTTTACTTTACTGAATGGCCTCATATAAGTTCATGTAGCAAGTTCATTGCAATGTGTGTTTCCTTTTGTACATCAGACAGTGCATTGCAGCTGATACATTCACTTAGATGGGACTTAGACTAATGTTTTTTCACGTTTCACCTGGCATATACTGATTTTGATCTGCTCTTCTATTTTTTTGACAAGCTGATGTATTACACAGAGCTTTCTTTGACTTATGGATTTACACAGAATGTAGAGCCACAGCTCTAGTTCCAATTTATCCATGACTGTCTCCATGCTCTTCTCCAAAGCTCTTCTCAGTTTATAGTTCAAAAATTTTATGACCTCTTAACTGGGAATGAAATGAAGGTATTTTGATGGATTTTCAAAGTAGAAATGTTGGCTTCCTGCCATTGTGGGGAGTTGTCAGGAAACCTCTGGGAAAAATGAAGAAACCATGAAGTAAACATTTTAGCTGAAGATGATAACATATTGATTTCACAGGGATAGCTAAAAAACTAGAGGCACAATATCAAAGTTCTCATTGCCCTCTTCATAGGTTTATGAGGCCTTTCATATTTACTGTCCATTTTCTCCTCCTTGTAGATAATAATAAGCAATAATAAAATTTTGTCACCTAAAGTATATTTTTAACACAAAAACTGTTATATTCTGTTTCAAAAAAAAATTAAAACTATACATGCATATGATAATGTTATTTATACCATAGGGTTTTCCTTCAGAACAGGGAAGATAAGGTTCCTGTATACTGTCATGGGACTCCTTTGAAGTTTCTTTTACTTTCTTAGTTCCCTCACTGAACTAATGTGTGCATTGTAGTCTGCACACTGTGTCTTCACTTCCAGCTGCAGAAAAACCTTCTGATTAGTTTATTTTTCTTTTGGTTGCAAAGAATCAACCATCAATACTTTTGTTATTTAAACTTACTGGCAAGTCCCTGCACATTGAGAACACAAACAACCACCACTGAGTGTTACAATAGCTACAGGTGCTCAGGCTACTTGAACTTATTATTACTTTATGAAACCATAATACGCTGTAACCTTTTTCATGACCTTACATCATTTGTCCATGTGTAGGAAGACGCCAGTGATAGTGACAGTCAGTGATTTCTGTTGCCTAAGATTTGTGAGGCACGGAAGTATTTTCCTTTACTGTCTTGAAATAAATTTTATAAAATGGACACCTGCTGCTCATAGCAGAAAAAGCAGGTTATGCAATACCAGAGGAGGATGACTACCTGGCCAGCTGAGCTTTCCTTTCTTGTTATCAGTTTGCGTTTCTGAGGGCAAAAGGCTAGTGTCTTGCTATTTCAAAGTGTCTGTAAATGTGTTTAGAATAAATACTTACAAAATTTGAAAGCTGAATGTTACACCATGAATCAAGTGACTGGGACATATGAAGATGACTTTGGTCAGTGACATTTTTATCACATAAACCACCAAGTAACATAATTTTCAAAGCTGTTTTCAGCTTTAAAGAAGACTACTGTGAGGAACTATATGAATTTTTTTTTTTAATGTATATCACCTTGAAAACTGCCCAGGGGAAAGAAAGAAAGGTATTTTTCTGTAATGTTCTTTATGCAATGCAACCACAAAGTACTGCAGGTTGATAACAGTACTCATTTTAGGACTCTCTCAATCTTGCCTAGTAAAAGATATGTCTTCAGTACTATCATGTACAGATATTTAGATACCGCATAAAATATATACATAAACACTCACACTGATCACTGCTCAGTTAATTTCATCTGCAGCTACAGTTCTCACATCTCTGCAAAGAAGTGTGGCTGCAAGAAAGTCTCCATCTCTTACTCCTTTTACTCCTTTTCCTTCTCTTGCCGTGCTTTAAAATTATTTAATTAGCCTCTCTTTCTGTCTGTTTTAAAACTTTATTATGATGGTGCATATACAATATTAATGGGGCAAATCAGATACTAACCACACAATATCTGCCTATTCATCTAGCTCGTTCTCTCCTTTCTTTTATATCTACTCTCTGCTTTTGAGCAGCAAGAGTCAACTGCTCAGTGAAGCATGGCAGAGCAGAAATGGAGGTCCCAGGGATGCCACCTGCATGTTCAGAAGTAGGTACTGGAGCAGGGCTGCATGCACTGCTGGCAGCTACATTGCTTCGCTTACATTTTCTGCAGAAACAGAATTATGTCAACCTCCAAGCTAGCCTAAGCCAAGATTTCTTATTCTTGAACTCTTGGCATTTATTTTCAAGCACTTTATGTCTCATGGTTTTTATTACATTAGGAAAAGAATACTAGCTTGTAAACTTGTGATTTTGCATCCACATCACTGCAGTGAAATCAGCAACGCCGAGCTTGCAGCAGTTTTCTTAAGCTGATATTATTCATTTTCCATTGCAGAATATGTGATCTGGGAGACCATGAATCTTCCATCCGGCATGTGACATTTGTGAGCGTATCAGTGCAAATGTCACAGGAGTGCACTGGACAGCTCTGCACCAACTCTGTACCATTTCTGGTTTTATCATAGTCATGGCTGTTAGCAGCACATATGTACCATATGCCTTTTTATTTATCTGTGTGGAAAGGTCATGATTCCCCTCTTAAAGTCTCTCTGACTGCCTGCAGGAACAACAAATGAATTAGCATGGGTCAAGTTTGCTGTTTTTCATCAGATTCTTCGTAAAACCCTCAGATGTTGCACCTTATACCAGTCTTTTACTTGCATGAAATTTGCTTGCAGGAAACATCAAACCTGCTCATCTTGCCATTTATGTACATGAAAACAAGGTGGTTACAAGTTCTTCCTCCATCTGTAGCAGTCCAACACACTGAAAGTCACTTTCATCTTTTTTCAAGAACTAGGACTTCACAAAATGAGTATCTTCACAAAATGGGTATCCTTAGATCATGAGAAGAGGAATTTGTATAATGCAACTTCTATTAGCACTTTGTGGGGCAAGCAATAAAAGCAGGGAAAAAAGCATAAAAAAATGATATCAAGGAAAGACCTGGCAGTTGTACTACTGATAGTCATGCTATTGTGAGATGCACCAGAAAGAGCAATGCTGATGTGAACTCCTAAATACCAATGGCCTCCAGAGATCTTCTTCATTTCCTACATAGGACTATGCACTTTTTTTAGTAATTGCATCCAGCCCTGCAACAGTCAAGAGTTTTTTTCACCCCTATCAATTAATGGTTATGAAGTGAAAAATCTCTTTTTCCAGCTGTTAAGAGCTTATCACTCCACCATATAAGCCCTGTCTTTATCCTGTTTTCACAAACATGCTGGAAATCTTTAACATCATCATCTGAGATCTGAAAAGAAACAACGTGGAGCAGTGCTGACAAAAATTATACCCTGGAATTGCAGGTGTGAAGACCAAAATTGGCATATTCCAGTCAACTTTGACTGAAGGCCGTGCCATTCCTTTTTCAGAAGAGGTGCAGAGATGAGGGGAAAGGTAGAGGCAGTTTTACATGCAGGGGTCCATGCTAGCACATTGCCAAAGGAAAAAAGACTGTTTATACCTGCAGTAACTGTGGTTCTTCTAATGTTGTGACTAGCATGGATCCCATAGCCAGCTTTCAGCTCTGATGCTCAGTCCCTGCCCTCAGAGGTACCTCCAGGTTTTATACCATTGCAAAGACATAAGAGAAGTCACAATCAACATGTTTCAGTTCCATTGATGACTCTGATTGACAACTACTGAATTTTTACTTTCAGGCCTGTACTTTTGTAGTAAGAGTCCTCATGACAGCATCCAATCATTGCTTATAATGTCTGGAAAGTTAATAATGGTTTAATAGTGTGCAGCAGCCACACAAAAGGCTGCCTTCATGGTCTTTCAACTACGAGAAATGGCTACAATCTTTCAAGTACTACCAGCAAAGTAAGCTTCAGCTAGATAGTCAAATCATAATAGTGATCAGTGAAGTCAGCGTTGCAAGGAAAACTCTTAGCTTTTTGTGAGGGTTTTTTTGGGACAGAGTGGGAAATAAATTTTTTCAAAACTATGCGTTTTTATCCTCCTTGTCTTTAGAATTATTTTGCATTTCAAACTCTTATCTCAGTTTTGTCTGTGCATTTCAGTAGTAGGATATCTGAGAAGAAAGTGACAGAAGTGATAGTAGTCGTGGATTTGAGAACCCCTTGGCCAGACCTCTTCAGTATAGCTACATATTATTTTTTTGCCTAACTCCTTTTTCTCTTGCATTTAATCAGTTTTTACATGAATAATTTCATGAAGCAGCAAAATCACTAATATATTAATTAATAATTAGTAATCCACATCATCCAACTGAAGTGAAAGAACTGAAGGAGCTGAAATGGTTTTCAATCTCAATATTTACAAGTGCTACCTGTTTAGTATATGTGTGATATAGAATCCCATCTCTAACCTGAAATATATTATTGAATGATAGCCGTATATGAAATTATTTTGTTGATTTATATATATATATGAAGCACCCAAGATTGATATGAACGTGACATAGAGCCTGTTACCATTAATAAATGTATACCAAGGACATGCATGTGCACCAAAGCAAAGATGATGACTGTGTAGTGGGAGGAAAAGAGAACTCTGCCAATGCTTTTAAAGACTTTGGTGTGTGGGAAACAGACACTGTATGATGTATTTATTGAAGCCTTAAGAATTCACTTTGAGGCCAAAGAGGTATGTTTGGTAAACCTGCTTTTTCCTTCCTTTTTTTCTCTCTCCAGCTCAGAACACTGGAATCTCAACTTTGTACAGGAATTCGTATGGTGCGCCTGCTGAAGATATCAAACATAACCAGGTAAGTATAGAGACTAAAATGTTACCATTCCAGATGGCAAAAGACTGGTGCAGCATCTTATATGGAAATGAAGAAAAATATCACAAATTTAAAAAATCACATACAAACAGACTTCTTCCTGTAGATTTTTTTCTGCTATGCTCAAATTAAACACCTGTGTTTGAATACATGAGATGAAATGGAGGTCCTGAAGGTCCTGTACACCTTGATAGCACTACTAGAAATAGAAACTAGAGCAGTTATGCTCACTTGTGCAGTTCTAATATTAGGCCCAACCTTGTAAGATCACTCACTGTTAAAGGTAGTGAACTTAAGCAATCTTTTGTACTGTGTGCATAGAGTCCAATATAGGCATGTTTTGAACAAATATTGCAGAATTTAGGCCATAACAGTGCAACTGTTCCTGTCGTCTTGGAGCAGTCTTGCAGAGTCAGCAGGATCCTCAAAGTCTTCTGACATCAGTGCCTGAGAATCAATATTCCCAGTGATGACATTGTGAGGATTGACAGGCTACATCATTTTGCAATCACAAGGTCTGCCCAGACTTTGAGAGGTGGCATAAAGTGAAAGATAGTCTCCTAAGATGGTCAGCATCTGTTTATACATTTCATATTTTAATAAAGTCCCAGCTATAAAAACAGAGATTCAGTAGGGCTGTGTGAAAAAAGTTTTATGGCAACATTAGGTTAGGGAACCATCTGAGATTTTTTTTTCTGCATATCATAAACATTTGAGCTTCAAGGCAACTAGCTGGAATGTACAACAACACAAGATTGTCAACTTGAAGTGTTGAGGAGGTGGTAATATGG